AGAAAACATGATACACCTATATGACCCTTATGCATAATGCATCTAAACATGCATTAGTTATCATGGCACCTGCACGTTCTCTGGTTCTCAATATGGTAACGACAGTAACCTACAGGTGTATCTGTAACCTTAAAAACGTCCCGTGTTATCTTGTACTCGCTCTGACGTGCTAATAGGCTTCTGTGTCCCAGTTTTTTTTCTCGGTGAACCCAGGCTACAGAGACGTGACATATTCCCGCTAGTCTTATCTCAGTACGTGCCATATGGTTTCCGCCAATGACTGGGCCTCTCCTGGGTTTACAAAGGTCAGAGTCATTCGTGCGAATACGTGTTGCCACGTGCACCCTCTGCCTCTTGTGTATTCATAACACTTCAATAAGTGTCTCTTTTACTCGGCGTCTACCTCAGGAAGCCTTTCAAGTCTCTCCGCGTTGCCAAGAGGCGGCCTGACATTTGAGTACTTTGGGATTCAGGCCGTCACTCCTTCTAAACAGCATTACATTCCTGCAACCATAGGTCTATTCAGAGAGCGTAGAATATTAGATTTGGAAATCCATTGCAATTTGTCAGCCCTGAAGGTCATTTCATCAACGATTGGGACTTTCGTCAGCTAAAAAGAGGAGAATGGAATGAACGATGTTCGTCTGCTGAATTTCTAAGTACTCTACAGAGTTATGACAGGAAAATGAAGTTACAAAAGAACTTTTACTGTTCACACAATTAGACATATCAAGACAGGCAAATTACTTACAGTTGTTTGTACAATAAGCTTATAACATGTTGAAATGTCATGTTACTATCAAACAGGTTAAGCGGTACACGGGTTACAAAAACTGCCCCTTTTTTCTGTTATTGAACAACAACAGTATTTTACAGTCACCAGTCATTTTCAATGCTAGTTCTTAACGTATAGTCAAAAAGTCAATAAATGTCATCACGTTTTTGCTGGGCAAGTTGAGTAGAAACTGGAAAGAGCGAGGGAACATATTTACAACTGCATTCACACAACGCGCTACACTACGTATACAGAAGAACAAGATGGCCTTTAAATTTCGTCAGTTTACTGCCACGTACAATGATGTACATGTACCTGCATACGTACACGACTACAGTATCATTTGCCAGCCGTTCTTCATGTAACATTGTAAGTATAATAAAACCCTCATGACAATATCACGTCACCTCATATTGCTATGTTACTTTCAGATTTATGCCTGGACTTTCTTTTATGGCATGTGGAAAGATAAAATCCGTACATCGATGTGGCACTGCATTATGGACATCTTAGTGTGATATAGATGTGGAAACTGTAGACATTTCTCAGCGGATATCGCTGCCGGCCGAGCCTACATCGATCTGTACAGCCCATTTTATTGAACATACTACTGAATTAGTACTTCTTAATGTCATGGATTATTTGCCATTAGTACGTCAAACAATAGAACAGCCCCACTTTATTACACATTTACAACGGGTATTCCTTAAGCGACTCCCATTCCATCCTGTCTAATGCCGCTCGGGTGATTCTCGTACATCTTTGCTGTAGGAATGATGGAGTGGGACGTTTTCATGCATCGTGACGGACGTACTCGAGTACTCTTCCTGCTTCCCCCTGGATGTTAGATGCTCAGCTTGCCCTTCCCTTCAATGTTTGTAAGCTGTGCTGCCACTGCCTTTTTAGCTGCAGAAAGCAAAGAATCATTAGTATTAAGACAAAATGTATCTTTAGGGAGCCAGTATTACGGTGGAGCCTTCCAGTCTGTGAGAGATGCGCCTTGGTGCGCCAAGGTTATCAGTGACACCGCTAACAGATGTCGAGGGGATTGAATTAAGCAGTTAAAATAACACGGTAAACGACACTCGGAACAATATCTAGGAGACACATTTGTGCTTCTGCAATGTAAGGATATTGTTTGAAAGGAGCATTGGTCCCTTGTGTCTTATAGTGCGAGTTATAATTTACTGGATGGTTTGGCATGCGTCAGTGCGTGTAAGTGCGTTATCCCTGCACGTTTTTTTATATCTATCTGAAGAAAACCATGCACGCAATTATAGTGATGATATACAACAGACAAGACACTCCCTACCCTCTGTTGTCGGCAGAAACACGGCGTAGTTTGAAGGGAACAGGCCTATCCTTCCCTTCAGGTACCCCAGGCACCAGCCGCCATTTTCTCCCTCCAGCACCTCGATGACGTCATCAATGTCGAGCTGCAGCTCGTTCTCGTCTGTCGGGGAGTACGGGTACAGAACCCTTGCAAACCGTCTGTCTGTAGAGGGGTAGTACACGGCGTGTTTACAATAACAACTCAAACTACGTAGCCTTTGACTTTGGCTTTATTCGGATCCACATTTAGCATACAAAACTGCAGCTTTTCTTCCTGTGGTCCTTCAAACACACATACGACATACAAGGGAATACACAAAACATAAAAGCATTGACAATAATACTAACACACAACTTAAAATAAGGCTATATACATCATTACCAGTTCATTTTATTCCAGGCAATAGACATCCTATACAAAAATCTCCCTTTCTGGGCATTTGTTCGGGGTTTAGGAAGGCGGATGTTGGTAAGAAAGAGATATATGTCTATGTGCCAGCAATAAATCTTTATAGATAAATCGAATATATAGAAAAACATTGCATTGGTAAAGTTAACGGTAAAGATACCTTGGCCTTTCTTGTTTTTCCGAAGGGTTCCTATCCCTGTATTCAATGGAGACATCTTCGGTTTGTCTGTGTTGGTAAGAAAAGAGGTACGTGTTTTATGTATGTCCCACGTATATTGTCATAAATGTTTGTGTGTGTCGTCCAGTACGGGCCATGATGATCTGCAATGTCACTTGTAAATCTTAGTGTACTTTGAGGTACACAGTGTCAGCTGTACGTTATGTTTCAATACATACCTGGTGGTTTGGGGCCGTCTGTGGTAGATGCTGCCGCTGCAGTCTTGTCTTCAATGGCGCCCTCACCCCTACCGATGAGGTTGTAGTAGAACGCAAACTTGTTCCTTTCCTTCTCGTGTTGTCGCTTCCTGATGTAGCAGCCCAGGAGGACCAGACACAGGCCCAGCCACAGACACCCCACCAACACTCCAGTGGCGATGGCGATCGTAAACATGTCCAGCCCTTTCGTCGGCGCTGTGATGGAAAATCACAAGGAAAGTTGAGCCTCAGATAAAATCGACTTACTGATGTATAAAATGCAGTTAAAATTGACGATTGCTCACAAATGAAAACTCAGATAAGTGTGCAACTTGAGCTATAAACCCATTTTATGTGTTGCAAAGTGTCTTTTAATTCCCGTTCATCATAAATATACATTCAAACCAATCTGTTATACAAAATGGAACGTTATTCAAGTCTCTAGGCAGTAGTATATATGACAAACTAGCTAATGACTTACAACCTGACTTGCATACAAATATGAGATATTTGGCCTTGAACCTACGTCTGACTGTCACAAATAGGGCCTTAGAGTCGCCATCACCAATGCCGTTTGTAGCTGAGCACTTGTAAGATCCCGTGTCGTTCATTCTAAGGACCTCGAAGATTTGTGAGCAGGCCCGCAAGTTGTGGGGCAGGTTCTGCGGCTTGCAGGGTAGACGGACGCCGTCTCTGGTCCATGTGACGTTAGGGAGGGGGTAGCCGTCGGCGATACACTCCAGGGTGAGCATGTCATCCGCTTCGGCGATCAGAGACTCTGAGATGCGCGTCACACTCGGGGGATCTGGTAGGATTAAAAATGACATCGACTGAAACATGTGTTCCTATAGTATGGCAATAAATCATCACAAAAGGTAATACACGAAAACAAAGCAGTCATGTTACCTAAACATTGTATATACGGACTATATGGATGGTCTTATACAAATACATAATGTATGGGACTAGAAAAGCATAGAGGAGGTCCTATTCTGAACAGAAAAAGATAAGGAAAAATGTTTATATTGCAAATTCGGTCCAGTGAAGTTTTTTTAGTGTAATAATTTTACCACACTTCCACTATTTCTGTTCTTATTTGCAAATGGCACAATGTACACAAGGGCCCGGGGATAATGCAAAAACAACTCCATTAATATGTCGATGTGATTCCGATACGCTTAGTTGGTCACTGTCACAACATCCATCACTGTCTGTAATATAGATGCCTTTGAAGTGTACCGAACGTGAGCATACGCGTGAACATAACGTGATGTAGGTAAATATCTACACCTACACAGAACTTTCAGGGTCAGACTGGCTTTGAGGGGGCGTGAGGAGGCCGGGTGTCGGACCACGCACGTGTACCTCCCGGCGTCCATCCTGTCCACAAATCGCACGACCAGAGCCGGCACCTTCATGGACCCGCCGGAGTACTTCATCCCGTCTAGCCTCAGGTGTTCTATCGGCATGTTGTCCTTTTCCCACCACAGGGACGTGATGTTGTTGGGTCTCCCGTTGAAGACGGTGCACTTCAGGGTGACGCTTTTACCAGATGTGATGACAAGTGGACCCGGGGGACCGACTTTTACTTCCGGTGGGACTGATGATATGACGACAAAAAGCTTGTTAAAGTTACTCACATGATTTCATAGCTGTAAACATAAAAAGCATACATAGATTTGCATCTTCTACGAGAAAATGATAGCACATCTCAAAACTCTGTGCTTAGCCTTTAATATTTGGTAACAGTGATACGCAAAAGAATCGTGATGAAAAAGGCGTCAACAGCGCACATTTCCTATATATAAGCGTTTCCATGCTTAAGGGGAATTTCGAAGTTCCTATTCAATCCTCTGCCACTCTTTGACTGTATCTAATGTTTAAGAATGGGATTTTCTACTCAGTTACGAAGGATATTAGATAGATGCAGGGAATCCCCAGAGTGCTATCCTGCCTGAAGGCGGCTAAGAAACCTGAGCTGTGATTTATCTTCTCGCCGCACCGTGTTCAATTTTCCGAAAAGGTCACGTCTTTCAAGAGATAAACGCGTCTTAGTCTAAAATCCATATTCCAACTGAACAAGAACAGTTAATAAAAATCAGCCCACCCTCGGGTGTACATAGCGCAAAATTAGGTCTTCAGGCAAGAGCGGATTTACATTATCTACCTTCATCCGCTGATGAAATTGGCTGGAGGATAAGTTTGTGGCAGGCAGTGACATGATGGGAGGAATATTTATGTGGGAAACGCGACTGTTCCACGACGTAAGCCAGCAGCAGTATCTGTTATTGCTAGGATGTACGATAACGTCAAATAGACCAACATATGTGACTATCTCATGATTAGTTCCAAGTACCATATATACCTCCAGGACAAGCGTAGCCATGCATAACCGTAGATCACGCATTCGTACAAGGTGATATGACAGCTGTAATGAAGGATTGGATGATGTTGTGGAGCCTGAGGCTACCGCAAGATAACATCTCTACGTCTAGAAGACGGATCTTGCTGTCATTTTGTAGTCTTTACCGGACTAACTACGCCGGCTATATGGAGAATAATTTTCCCGCGCAGTTATCTCACCCTTACCACGGCTAACTCCCCTGGCCTATTTTTGACCCCATTTTCGCCAAATTCCACTATCCATACACCCCCAGGAAGATTGGGTATACGCTGCATATTTTGTTGGAAAATGGTGCAGTAAATATGCGGATGTGAGTGAAAGCCGGTAGAGTTGATGTAGTCTTGTCAGTTCTCTTGCTTGCTGATCTGTATTCTGTCGGATGAACAACTCAATTGATTGACTGGGGCACAATTAAAATAAAAAGGGCACCAGTAATTTGCCATTGACCTTCATGCGTCCCATTGAAATGGGATGTATTTTGAATATGTCACGAATGTCATTATAATGTCATGTTGTTGTTAACTGTAAGGCAAATGTGATAATGGAAAGTCGCCATCTAGGCTGCTCGTAATGTCTTCTCGAGAATGCACTCAGAGAGAATTCTCTGAGTGCATTCTCGAGAAGACATTACGATTTTCGTGTCTATGTAAGTACAAACCCACCTTCTTGCATTTTGTGTAAACTATCAAATGCTGAAGTTCTATGAAATAAAATTTCAAACATGGCCATGAATATTCAGATAATATACGATAGCATAAGTGGAATCATCCGACTATGGGTGTCATCTGTGGATATAAATCTGTTTACGCTGTATCCTAAAGCTCCACCCATGAGCCTACTAGCTTTTGACTCACCTAACACCACGAGCTCAGTGATCGCCTCCTCAGTTCCCAGATCATCCGTCATGATCTTCAGGAAGTATCTGCCGGCGTCGCTGGAAGTCGCCCTCATGATCCTCAGGGACGCCTGATCCTCGATACGCGCTCTGCCGGCAAACTGTCCGTAGGACTTGGAGTTTCCTAACAAGGGGTTATAGGTGTAAACTTGTGTAGCCTTCTGGTCGTCGTCTCGTTTGATCCACTCGATCAGGTTCAGCTGCCTGGTGGTGGTGTAAGTTGCCGGGATGACGACATCCTCCCCGGCAATGGCGTTGACTTTGGCCGGTAGCGTCAGCTGCAGTCCCGTCTGTGCATGAGCCACTAGAAACATATACTGTAGTAGTTAACCATTTAGGTAAAGCACAGTCATTTAGCTAGAATTTGCACATAAACATTTTTCTGTCCTGATTTTTTGCTGCGTCCACACATTAAGTTTAGCTAACTAGAAATAATGGTTATATGATAAAGTTTTTGTTCTGTGTAAGTTTACATCGCAACCATGTGTTAATATCCCTCAGTCCTGCTTGGTCACCTACAGCTACCCCCTCGCTGAATATTCACGTAGAGGGCAACCCTAATATATCAACACAGTCTATAGACTCTATCGATTCTTTGAAAGGTCAAGACAGCATTAAACCCTTCAATCTAAGCGATAGTAAAAAGTAATTTTCGTCCTCTTCAATATTAACTCGAGGCGGACACTCCGTGTTATGTTTGAATATTGCGATTGACAATCCATCTCGTCTTGCTGACCCTCCCGACCGCATCAGGCAGATACGCAGAATGAGATAGATGCTACTTCATCGTGTAGGTAACCCCATCATCGCCATAGATTAGCCCCAAATCGATTTCTCTCCCTTCTCCCGAGCAATCGCCATCCGTCATCTTTCTCCTCTGTTCATCATAGTGATGACAACCCCTAAAAGGAAGCCAACTCATACAGCTTAAAGAGTGGTCGGAAGCTGTCCCAGTGGCTTGGCGCCAGTAATGATTACCTTGTCGTCCTAGAAGGGCACATAAATTTTAGGGAAAGTGCGAAGTTCTCCCCATGGCTGTCTATTATCTTGATTGGATATATTCTGTACCCGCATGTGGGCGAGAGCCGTATGTGGATTCATATCTAGGTCAAAGATGCACATCAAACACATTTCTCTGGGAACCCGTGGAATACTAACTAGCGTCAAGCGATCCATCTTACCTTGTGCAGATTGGATGTTATTCATGCAGCAAAATACTTGATTTGTTTTCGAGGCTACGTAATTAATGGCCTATTCCTGAGAGGCATTGCTTCTTAAAACAAAGTAGACGGGGAAAATATCAGAACAGGGATTCCTATTACAGTTATTCATGTATTCTCAATACCAATTTAAGTTATATTTGAAGATAGCGATGGGAAATCCCCAGCGTTCAACAGCAGCTAGTAAGAATTTGAACCACGGCACGCGCGTAAATTCCCAGGCGAGAATTACAAAAAATTAACGAGGCCGCCTTTAACAGCCCTGAAAACAATGGGAACAATCATCCGCATCTAATACCAAAGACGATTCGCAACGGTAAGCAATTATCATTTCTGCGCTGGAAACGCATGGAAATAGCTTTATGGGCACAATTATCTCGTTCTTTGATTCAGGGACCAAGAAAATTACATGCCTCCGGTAATTAACCTGGCTATTGCTGTATAATGGGGCTTTTATCAGCCATACCATCTGGCGGGGAGATTTTCGATTTTCTGCACTACTTTGCTACATCCCACACAATCGAACCCCTAGAATCTTTGGTCTTAGTTCTTCTAAAGCCATCCGTATACTTTAATATCGTAAGGAGCTTTTCATCAGAAGATTTTAGTTGGGGTTTTGACATTAAGCATAGATGTACTTAATCAGTTATTGTGGTGTATTAGTTTTCCACGCACGTGCCTCATTACGATGAGCCGTTGCTGTTGCATCCTATTATAAATTAATGCGATTTACCGCCGAAATTGCTCGAGGAGTATCGTCATTGATCATCGCATTGAGGTGACAAGATGGATTCTCTGCAAAAACAAAACCACGGAACAACGTTTTTCTCTCTCTCTGGCATAATATCGCTTTGCAGTGAGACCGATGCACAGTATCAAATTTACTGTGTTCACCACAGGCTATTTTTATTGTATGCATTATTATAACCTGCTGAATGAAACCATAAAAATCACAATTTTGGAATGATTGGTTTTTAATTGCCGAGTCGCCAGCCTTTAATATTTTATGTGGTCTTAAGGGAGATAGGGGTGTGAATACTGAATTACTGATATTCTGCCAAACGTTAGCGTCTTAACTAAGGTACCGATACAAAATATTCACCGAGGGAGAAAAATGTACATCAAGCGGATTGAGAATCGATAAGCACGACGTTAAAATGCATTTTCACAACATGCTCTACGTTAAACATCGACACAATCAGTTATCCTGATTGTCAGTTTCGGTTTTTCAAAACCATTAGTTGTTAGCTGCGCCTAATGGATGTTTTAATTTCAGGAGCATTAGATCTATTCCCACCAGGAGGGCCCAGACAGGTTACAACGCGTCGCGACGGGACGGCAGGAGATTTCACGTCTTAAACTTTTTTGTTGTTGATGTATAGTCTGCCATCTGTTCCAGCGATAGGCTAACTTCCCAGCCTCCAATATCTTCCGGGAATTCACGATCAGGTGTTTTCCAATGCCAGGAAACATTGACTCAAAGTGCGCTTCCTTATCACCGTTTCTACCTCTCGTTTTCATTCCTTAGCGGTATTTACTAAGCCATTTTGGCCCGTCTTGAGTACCCGATTGCCCAATGATTGCACGAGATGAACATTTCCAGGAAAACCTATCAGCCCGTATCCTCGTAAAGCATCCTTTCAAAACGAAATAGGCTAATCGATTTGTAAGGGGGAGGGGTAAGTCCGTAACAACCGCTGTTTCATCTAGGATAGATTTCCTCGGATAAAACTCTTTAAATAGACTGGTCAAGCCGAATCAATATCTAGGCAGGCCCAATGAATTGCCTTGCATATTTCATGATGACAGGACATAGTTTTAGGATAATGTGGTGTAAACTAGGTTAACAGTACAGTAATGAAGCGGTTGCACCATCTAACATAGACTCAAATTACTTCCAGAAGCTTCCGTTAGTTTAACATTAGCTTGAGCTTTTTATTTCGCCATTCTGTGTTCAAAGACTCGTGTTGCAATCCTAACTATCTATCTCACATTGAGGGATCAATGTGGGTTATCTGTCTATAAAAAGCCTAACATCACAAGATATCTCCAAAGAGGGAATTTGGACCTAATCACTTATGAATTTCATAGAATTCTATCTTGAATCTTAGATGATTTGTATTTTCTTTGTTTCAAATGGTACTTGCTTATCCTCTTTCCCCTCGGATTTTATTGATGCGCACGTCCACCCATGTATGTTTCTTGCCTGGAGGACCTTCACTCCTATTGGATAGAAATACATTAATCTTTAGCGATCTCCCTTCACAAGTAGCCGATGGACCACATCTTTGTACATCATTCTGTGCCCTCGGGTTACTTTGGAGTCCAGCGTGGCTATCTGAAGATGATAGCCCGCTGTCGTAAAGCGTGGCTACAGGCAGGGAATTTTGTGTGTTTTCGATTTAATCCAGGCTCTTCTTGTTCACGTATAGGAAGATAGATAATGTTTTGTTTCTTTTATCACTAACAAGGAAACCAGTTGCAGTCCTGGCGTGAATAAAGCACATTTCAAAGCTCTCCCCCTTATCGCTAGTCTGTTCGCGGCGGACTGCGGGTGGCGGACGGGCTGTCCTAGCGGAGATAAAACAACTTGAAAAGGGACGACACCTCAAAGGTTGTCGTGTTCATGTCAACAAATCCCACGTGCTCTTTACGGGGTTTTAATAGATGAATTTCCTTTCTTCATAGCGTGTGTATCCCGGTGATGTGTCAACAGGAGGTCTCGCTCTTGCTGTTCTACATGAATTATTTATAGGAAAGGGACGTAGAAAATCATTTTCTTCCTGCCTGCCATGGATCTGTAAATTTCCGCTTTCCGTTGGAATATGTTCATTTGCTAAATCGATCTCTGGTCTATTTAGATTCCTGGACAGTGACTTCCAGGAAATACATCACTGTCCATTTAGGATCGTTAACACCCGATGTGTCGAAGAAAGGCATCAATAATCCAAGCAGAATTGCTCCTACAATAACACCAAGCGCCCACAGTAAGCCTCACGAAACGCTGGCTCAGGGAATCATAAACTTAAAATTTACAGCAGAAAGTGTTATACTGTCAGGCAGAGGGCATCCGATATAGCTAGAAAACTATACTGTTTGGAAAATGCCCAGATAAAATGGCTCGTATCTTGGTTCAACAGCCTCACTGGCTACAACAACATAATTTGTACCCTGCCGGAGATAACAGCTCTATCTACCGTGAACGCCGCTTCAGCAGTAGTCTAAAAAGATGATGACCATTTGGAATAAGTACTAGTTCTGTCTTGATTTAGATGGTAAAATGATCCACCACGGTTCTGTCTGTATAATTAAGAAGGATTTCCGTGGACCGTGTGTGTTGCCGAAGATTAGGCAACCGCATCGTTTGACGGGCTAACCGAAACGGACCACAACAATAGACATGTACGCCCGCATCTTTTGACATATTAGTCACACTCTCACCGTCTGCACGCTTCAACAAGGCAGCAATGCACGGGATGATTCAAAGCAAGAATGATTCTACAAATACATGAAATTACGAACGATCAAGACACAGTACTGTATCTAAGAGCTTGTTCGTAAAGGAAATGTCCAGGTCTTTTGCTTCATTCAACGGTTTTACTCATAGCTGCAAGAGGATTGACACTAATGCCCTTTTTGAGCTAGCAAAACAGTGAGTAGACAGAGTAAATCTAAAAATGTTTTCGCAGTCTGTGGCACCTCCGTGTGATAAAAACTAACATGAGACGAACTGATACTTACCTTGTAACGAGAAAAAGAAGGTAAGCAGCGTTCCTAAACCCCAGGCTGCATGCATCGTTCCGAACATGGTTGTTTCCATTCGGGAATCCGCTCAGTAAGCCTGAGAAGAGCTCAGCTCCAACAGCCCCCAACGGAAGCTTCGTCGTTATGAGGCAAACTGTAACGCGTAAGTACCTTCTTCTGCGCTCCTTACTCAGCCACCAGTTGTATTCAATAACGCGTTACGACCTAATAGCATACGCATTTATGCGCATTTTGTATCCTGGGACACTCCATCACCTTCAACTATGCGCGCGAGAAGAGCGCTCCGTCATGTGGAGATGGCTACGCCCAGTGGCACTTCTCCGCCACGCGCCGATCCGTCATCCCCATCCGTACGAATTATCCGATTAATTAGCGCGTTAAGACCGCGAAATGACAGCAGGGCTTCGTCCATGAACATCGATTGGAACTATTTAACTTCATCCATGGCCACACACGCTTGTCAATCAGACAGCGAAGTGCCAGTGAAACTAAACCTCCGGTAATGCCATAAGGATGATCTGGCAGGCAGGCTTTTGTGGCACCAGCTTAAGATATGGTTGATGCATAACGAGATAAAATTATTTATATTTCCCCGTCAATGGATGCCTCTTGATGCGTATTGAGCGCCTGCGGGTGAAGATAAGAATATATAATGACGTGTCATGGAAATAAATTGAACTTGAATGCGATAAATAAGTGTGTATTTCTAATTTATTATCATAGTTGAATATTAATCCGTCTAATTGTAATGAATGTGTTGTGTTAGAATGTCAAAAGTGTAATTAATTGCATCCCTTATCTTTATTAATTGATCTTTTTGATGAAGATAAAAGGAATTTGTATGTCGGTCGCGTACAGATAACAAAGAACATCAGAGGTATCATTTGTCAGGGGCATTTTGTTAATGACATGGAATACAAGAGTTTATGGCTAAGATTAAGGCACGAAATCAATAATACAATATTCCTCTAAGCTAGATAATGTGTGTATTTAGGAGGAACTAAGACAAATGTATTGTCAAGAAAAAATAGTTTGTTGTCGTAGATCATCATAGCTAGTCTTCTCTTCCCATTTATGGTTACCGTAGTGTTACTTGTGGCCACGAGACGCAGACTTGTAACGAACTTCGATATTGGTAGGGCGTCATAAAAACAACATCAATAGGCAAATGGAAACTGGAAAGGGTTTATTAGCTACCGGCAATGCAGGCCTCTTTGAATATTTAAACGGCTCGTAAAATTGAGGAAACAAGCCCGGTGTTGAAGATAGAGAGGGCTGGGCTAAGAAGCAATATCTAATCTCTGGATGCCAATTTCCTTTTACCAGATGGTCCCGACACTCTTCATGCCTTATCTTGTGAAAGTGATGAATCACCTGTCTCAAGGTGGGAGTCATTTTCTTCTAGCTGCTTGAAAGGCAGTGCAAAGTGGTTTTTCTCGCGCAGATACGCTCATGATATTCAAAACGGCTCCATCTCAGATATTCTGACAAGTGAGCCATCGATGGCTTCAAGGGTGTTTGAGAAATATTCTATAAATCTCATTCAGGGAAGTTGAAGTGGCAGGTTTCTATTGATTGCGCCTTGTGCATTCATCCGGTTAAGATGGTCTTTTTATTCCTTATCATTTTCCATGCCAAACGTTAAAGTTCCTCCCAAATATGTTTTATACCCAGAAATTCCAATTTCTACCACTCGATCTAACGTGTCTATATGCTCGTATATATAGCCATGTGTGACAGAACAATAAAAGGTGTGTACTTTTAAGAACCTTATTCAATCCATCGCTCACAAAATTGTCTACACTTTTATACCGTCGCACAGATGTTAATCGACTGAAAAAAAACGTTGGCAGGGAATGTTTTCAATATCATGACCTTAGATATACGTTTCAGTTGTTACATGAAGGGTAGAAATTCAATATAAAGAAGATATAACTTCTGTCAGAGCGAATATTTTACGCTCAATGTCCCCCACATCCCTGGTCTAACAAGAACAGCCCTCTATGGACGTCCGTGTGACCTTTTCTACCCCTTTCATCTGCAGTGACGTCTCGGCAATAAAACCGCGCGTCTATGGATGTTCATTGCCAAAGGAAGCTACTGATATGGAAACATCACAAATGGACAGGTGTCTCCGTGAGTTATCGATGTACAGAGGCAGAGTAGAATGAAGTACAAATCATCGACGTCTTTTGAAAAGGGCCAAGCACTTCAAGGGCCCCTGTATGATTATAATGTAGCACGGGAACCATGATATACTGATTGCATAGAAAATGCTAAAGATTTTCCTAAGCATTGGCGTGCACGTTGGCATACTAATGAATCTCACTGCTAACGACTGCGGCTCGTTACAACAAGTTAACATCGGAATTCCCGAAACATCCTACGTACTCACAGCAAGTGTAGAAGGATGAAGTAGAGTTTCTGCTCCACGAGGAATAAATTTCCCTATGTGTTATATTACTGAACGTTTGAAACACGTAATGGCGTGTAGTTTAAATGTCATTTGACTCATGGATTAGCCCAGATAGGAACCCTTTTTCTCCGGCTCGTGGGAGCCCTTTACCAGGCGCTGAAATCACCGGTCTGTTCCACTGTGCCATAGATTTCCGAAGGCAATTTTCTGGCTATAGAAACGAACCGGTGTGGAACAACTACGAACTGCTGGGTCAGACATATATGTATTGACTATGCATGCTAAACAAGGGCGTTGGAGCGCCATTCATGCAGTAACATGTTTCTTCTTGGCACTGATACATATCACTGTTTAGTGACTGAACAGTCCTCTCCACTGGCACCGGTCTTTATGAGCTCCCACACAAAAGACTTCCTCTAAACGACTGACGGCCCCAAGCTGAGTTATTCCCGGTGATATCTCATTTTCTCTTGGCAGTTTTATTTCCAGACGTAATGTCGGTTGTTTGTGTGCATATTTGGAGCTTTTATTATGTGGTCCACTCTCGTACTTTTGGCAATCCTGGTAGCCCCATGTCTTAAAAATATCGACTGTAAAATATCCCCTAAATGTACACAAATTCAGGGTGTAGAATGTAGCAGTGGGGATAGAATAAATTGGTCTGTATGTGTATGACGGGTATTTGTGTATATCACAGTAACAAAATTCTGTACGTTGGCAAGAAATCACGAGCTTTGCATGGAAGGGAACCCAGCATGCTGAAGGGTACAGTTGCCGAGAAGACTATATTTTCAGTTACGGTGTTCTGCTGAGTTGGTTTACGATTCCTCCGCCCAGGCAGGCAGGCGTTGCAGTAAAAGCGTCGTAAAAATACGTCTCTGTCGATGGTTTTGCCATGAAACCATGCTGGGCGAAGAGGCGAGACGCTGCCAAGAATGGCGGGGGTGGGAAGCAGATATATGAAAATATACAATCGCATGGTGGCGCTACCAGGATCTGCAAGGTTATTGGGAGGGCATGGTACAGTCTCAATGCTGATTTATTCAAGTTAATGAAGTTGTGAGAAATCCGACTCGACCAGGACGCATTTTGTAATCAGAATCTACCAACACAGCAAAGCTACTATTGATTATTTGACGACATTTAAAGATGGAGAGCACTTCCCGTAGATGTTTAACGCCTTTTGCCTGACATACAGAATACTATGGACACGAAAACTTTCTCTACGATATGACTTGCTCTTCATATAAAAACATAGGCTATTGATTTATTTTCCAGGAAGCAATAACGTGATAAGGTTGTCTTCTAAAAGTCAAAGTTCAGTTGTAGTATGAGTTTGGGTGATGAAAATCGAACTCCTTACGTGAAGGTTACAAGGTGGAGAGTGAGGGAACAGGCCAGGAATACTGAACACTGAGGGGTTAAGTACAATTTGGAGGGTAGGCCAAAGATCTAATTTTTCATCACTCCCGTAAAATAAACAGAGCGTGGCGTCGGCACAGCGAGTGCAGACCCCCGATAATTAAATAATAAAATCAGCATAAATCTGTGTGATAAATTGTCAGGTTTTATCTCATATCTTACAGCAGTAAATACATTATGCAAAATTAAAATTCTACAGAAGACAAATACATTTTATTGTGAAATAGGTACCTCGGTGGGCTTATGAATAATCTAGAACAACAATTATCAAGACTGTAGGACATTGTGTATACAGACGGTACAATGGTTAAGCGTTAACACTGTTTTAATGTAGCCCTAGAGGTCTGATATGCGTACGTTTAAGGATTGGGCACATAAAACATTATTTTGTAGTTTTATAGCTTTCAATCTCACAACAACCAACGGTGAAACTATTCAAATCTCTTACTTACTATCGGTCGTGTTTTGCAGCGTGTCAAATGTCACTCGACAAGGTAATCACATACAACTTTACGACATGCCCACCTTCCCTGACCCTGTTACAGGTATTAGCCCTTGTCACATTTTCTCAGTTCTGCATGTCAGAGACAGCCTGGCTGCATTATCAAACAGGACCCGTTCTAATTATGTGTAATCAACTGGTTTTAAGGGTTTTATAATCATAGGTGTGGGGTGTTTTGGGGCTCTTACTAATCTCCAAGCAGATTATGTAAATTGTGGGGCAATGGTTACAGGAGACCAATGGTTACAGACGGCTAATATAGCCCCGTATGATGTATACAGAAACTGCTTTGAGATTAGTTGTTACTTTGTATTCCCTTCCACCCTAAAAACAAATTTAGCAACGTGTATTCGCTACAAACGAGCATCACCATACTCCCATGTGATCCATACAGAATAAAAAAAAAACATATTCGGCATGCATAATAGTCCTGTGGTATTTCGTACCTGGAGTTTAAGAAATTGCACCCTTTAAAGCATAGTTCATCCACGCAACGCAAAAACAAAAGCCAAACAAACTACGGTGCACAAGTAATGGCGTGCACTTTTTTTATTAGATCGTTCATACCTTCAGTGGGGAAGATCGTTTAGGCACCTTTACTAGCACAACTTTAAGAACTTCCAAGTTAAAAGCATTGCCATCGGTCGAGGCGTAAGTGCTCAGCAACATAAATCGTTTTGGGTGTCTTGTGGACGTCAAACGTACCTTATTCAATATAGTCAGATCCTGACACATAGTGTATGTGACCTTCCTGTCCCCCTCGTGCTTTGACAAGTATGTTCTAATGTACACCGCAAATGGAACACGCGACACTTTCAAGAAGCATTTTCACCTACACCGAGCTGCTATTCCCCCGGGAGTAGTCAACCCTCACCAAATGATGTTCACTATTTACACCTTTAAGTCTTAATGGCGTGACTTGCAGCAATTCCGCCGGGTGGGTCAACGTGTGACCCGTAACTTAACAAAAGCCTGTGTTTAATCCTTCAGGCACCTTACCTCTCAATGAGGTCACTACCAGGCGCCTGCACGTAAGCCTATTATCACAGTATTGCTCATCATGAATACCCCCGGAGCACGCGGCATGTTTCCGTGGACTAGGGCTGATTCAATCTTGTGAAAGTCTGTGCGTTAACACCGTCGTTACGGTATCGTGTCAGGAAGGGGCGTTGAATTCACCCAAGGGAAACTTGTTCGCAGTTTGGGTTGACAAACATCCCACCATATTCAGAACTCGCTGCAATACCTGATGTTATCGGCACGGTACATGCTGCGGGGTGCCCGCAACCACTCTCCTGATGTAATCTGGTATGGCACGACAGATCACGAAAGGGGGTTGTCTGTGCCCGCAGGACTAAAACATTTATCAAAGTTGACAACCCTTAACCGACAAGGGAATTAGCCTTTGAAAGGTACTCCATCAAGCAAACCATCAGAATATCAGCGGCGGGCGTTCATCGGTCAGGACTGCCGTCCGAACTATGCCTGGATATGAGGAATCAACAGTGTTCAGAATAGGAGCTCCAACAGAAAATACAGCAGGCTTATTTCTTTCTATATAGTTCTGGGGAATTATTAGTAAAGGGACTTCAAAGGAGGAGACCCCAACACATTGACATACTGCGGTACATTTACCCAGGAGGTGGTAGTGGTGGGTTTGGAGATTGTGCTTCCTTTAAAAAGCGAAGTTTTGCAATCATAAAAAATATTATGACAGATAACACTCCTAACCAAGGTTTGTGTCAGGCTCATGGATCATCCAATGGTTCCTTTCCTTTTTTGGTATTCCCAAACACTGTTCAGAACATGACCTAATTTTCACGATGTGAAAGCATCCACAACGAAATAACTGTTATCATTTAATCGATGGTCATGGTCCATACAGCAGGTTCTAATGGGGATTTGGTACAAAACGAAAGTCGAAAAAAAAATCGTGAATAATGTATAGGTAGCAAAATACCACCAGGAAAAGCTCTGGCTGCAAGATTAAAAAAATACATACCTTTCTATCTATATTCAGATTAATGGACAGAATTTATGGATATGATGTACGGTTATCGGTGCTATTTGAATTTTAAGATCACCGTTGGGTATTTCTGATGGAAAAGCACCCGGAGGATAGAGGAAAGTTATTTGGTTTCCAAGCGAGATAAACGCACATTACAGGCGAGAGAAAACATAAAATGTTTGCACATATATGCATTATAGAGATAATATGATGACATTAGCTAGCAGAAGTAGTGAGTGTGTCAAATAATGACTTTTCTCATCTAGGTAACGACGAAGGGTCTGGTACCATTCATATATGCACTATTTATAATTCGTAAAGTCGTCTTGGTGGGCACAAATACAGCGATAAAAAACGATGTAAAAGACGACATCAATATCATTTAGTGCTTACCTCAAAGTCTTTAGTGGCAACAGTTCATATTTTGGAAGCGACGCCTGGTAGAATGGAAGACAACTGCATCTTTAGCTATAGGAATATTGATACACCTATCAAGTACGAAAAAAATAATAAACTGTAAGAAATAGCAGTACTTATGATACAAACACTTAAAATGCGTGGCTTGTTCATGTTGCAGAAGAATGCTACCTGCATCTGCACGTTATAATTGCTGAGCATGAACCATGCATTCTTTTTTATGATCCCCAGCTTCAGAAGATACAGTGAGGAATGAGTCCGCCAGGCGACGCTTTTATGTTTCTGAAATAAAACAGGCTACAAATGGACACATTTTCAACGTACAAAGGAAATTTGCTGCACATGGAATATGCTTCAGCCCTTTGAGTGATTATACTGTGAAAAGTTTCTCAAATCTGTTTTTAGTTCATATGCAAAGTTGCCCCCCACCCCCGCTCTGTGGCAGTGAAGCTGTGCTCAGTACTGACGTAACCAGCCCCCATTACTATCTTCTCAGAGATTTTCTGAAAGCCTACCAGCTCACAAGCCTCCGGGGCAGAACACGAGGATTTTCCGGCTAACTGTTTTCTTTCAGCCGGTGGCGCCATTCCCAGGCACGGCTCCGTCAGGACGTCGCTACCCGCGTGCCCGTGAACATGCTTCTCCTTTAATGTGCCGGGATTTGGCAGACTTAAGGAGGCATTACTACCATAAACCTCCCGTCTGTGCCGCTTACAAAGCCCGCGGCAGCCTCTGGGAGACCGATAAGTGGTAGGTTTAAGTAGAAGTTTTTAGTGTTGATGATGCGGAAAGTTGTTATTGCCATCACGATGAGATAGGACTTTTAAAAAGGTTTCAATACTAGAAATGTAACATTTGCAAAGCAAATGCATAATGCTTTAGCATATGGTCTGTTCTGTTAATTCTTACTCAATCACATTCATATATATGGTCAGACAGGAGTCTAAATCCCTCCTGCTATAAACATGCAACATTATGTAACCCAACACTAGTTACCATGGTGATATGCTGTGGTTCAGGTCATTGACCTTTCGTGTTTGGAGAAGAGGAAACTGGGTAAAAACAATTGGTTTTCCTTCGGTAAACATAATAAACTACAAAGTACAATAGATGCAGCCACTAGTCATGCATACTTACAAACATTTATTCAAAATGTGTTCAACAATTTCCGAACAAACCCTAGCACGGCGCAAGAGCTAAAACTATTATATACATTCTGTTACATACTAGCATAGCCATACACATAAAGGTAGTTATCACTTACCGATAGGCTAATGCTTTACGGTATGGTCCTATAGTCTAAGTATTACATTGTACGTGCCTTATATTTGGTACCGTCACTACCTCAGGATCACTTGTTTTAAATCAATGATCCCTACTATTCCACTACATGTAGAATTTAGACTGCTATTCCAAGCAGTAGGTACCGGTAGCCATAGTTGTTCTTTTTCACCATCCGTTCATAAGATTTATACAACATCCAGCAAATATGACCATATCCTCTAGCGCTCACTCCCTTGAACAATTTTGACTATTACTCCGACTGTTACAAATCCACCGCACAGTATTTTATGAGAGACTACCCATCTGTCATATGCAACGTAATTTGTTTATGATGCTACATGTACTTACACGACTTAGTGTAGCCTGGTTTCTGGGTTATCTAAATGTACATGTAGCATTCTTGAGTGGTATGAATGTGGTAGTAGAGTAGAGCCTGCACAGCATTATTTCTAAAGTAATCATCGATGTAAGTATGTCACATGAAGGCAGGTGTAACAGCGGAAAAACAGAAAGTGAATACAAGGGGATAAGGCGTTTCAAGACTATCACTACTACGGTAGTTCTAGGCATAGTCAGTTACTAGTAGGTTAACGTTACATGAAGCTGTTACATCAGATTTCCGTGTCTCTCCTTTTATTAGCTTTTCACAATTCACTGTACATTACAATGGATCATGTAGGCACTGTATGTACACGACTTGGGTGGAAATGTGTCGCCAAAGGACGTGCGTCATTTTCACACATAACCAGACTGTGGAGTTTGTGGCTTGACATTTCAGAGATGACATCAGGTGCATTTTAATCAGATGCTTCTCTTGCCGGATTCTTCTACTTCAATAACCTGTCTAGCCACACTTGGTCGCACTGTGAAGAAAAAAAAAACACGTTTAGATGCCTTCAAATCGCATTCTATCATCACAAATATTATTAAATCTTTTTACATAATTCAGAAAATATCAAGTGGTGTCAATACGTTCCGTAGTAATATGATAAACGTAGGAAAAAACAACACATAGAGATTTTTTTAAAAATCTGAAATGGTGAAAAAATGCCATCTATCGTTATCTGTTTTGAAAGGCAGGGTGAGTCCGGTGTTGTTATAAAGCCTGATCATTTGTCACGGCTGTCTCAATATAAGGCAGTCTGGAAAAATGAAGTGGTGCCGAACGTGACAAACAGCAAGGATTTGAAAAGCTAACGTTGGGAAGCCGTTAAGCTGATACTCAACGGAGTCATAATGGACTCCAAAGGAAGATCTATATGCCAGTAGGAAAACGTTATTTTCTAATATATGAGGATTACCGTCGTTGCCTGAGAGAAACATGACGTAGTTGGAGGGGAACAGGCCTATCCTGCCCCTCAGGTAACCCAGGCACCAGCCGCCATCTTCCCCCTCCAGCACCTCGATGACGTCTCCTATCTCTAGCTGCAGCTCGTTCTCTTCAATCGCCAGATACGGGTACAGCACACGGGCGTATCTTCTCTCTGAACAGGGAAATAATCGTGATTGGAATCAAGAAAAATCGGCCATAAAACTGACCTTCATCCAGAGTTCGGCCGTTTGAAGACAACTACTTTGTGCTCCTTTTTTCAGTCAGTCTAGTTGCTCATTTTTCTTTTTAATGTACATTGAGGGCCAAATTGGGGCAAGTGCACATAAGTTTGGAGACACAAAATTTGCAGATAAGCATAAAAGGCTAGGCTCAGCCTCGTAAGCATTTGTTTATCGATCTGAAAGCAGATATTGCTTCTCATTTACATTGTTAGGTTGTGTGTGGCTCTAGCTAGACATTTGCACGTGTTATTTTGTGCCGTTGATGCTTCTTAGATGAAGGAATATGAACAATGGGATATTCAACGTACGTTTACCTTGTCCTTTCTTTGACTTCCGCATGGTGCGAATACCAGTGTTGACTGGCGTGGGGTTCCGCGGCTTTTCTGTACAAAACAACAACAACAACAATAAACCCGGATCAGTTTGATATGTGAAAGTAAACAAAAATAAGTTAGAGGTAATGATATTATTACAATAAAACAATAGTTTAAAGGAAATACTCCCAACAATACTGCGCAATGGACCTCCGCTCATCACCAAATCATTTATATTCAGACCTGGAAGTTTTGGGACCTCCTTTGGCGGTCCATCAGTGTCTGAAGGGTCTCTCCTGCCCATGTTGTAGTAGAATGCAAATTTGGTCTTCTCTGCCTGATGCTGACGCCTCCGCATGTAGCAAACAATCAGGAAGCAGCAGAGACCTAGCCACAGTAGTCCCACCGTCACTCCCACCACGATGGCGATGGTTCGCATGTTCATTCCCTTGTAGGGAGCTGTAAACATACAGGAAATATATATTCTCTGGATGTTAGAATGCTATTGAACATCTAGAATGCTAATGAACAATCTAGAAAACTATGTATAAAATGTAAGGCCACACCAAGTAAATTTTATGGATGACGTCCGCGCGCGCATTGATTTTGGCCTGTTCCTAGAAAAAAAAAGAAATTCCACTTCCTGTAACTATGACCAAAGAGTCACGACAGTGTTGCAAATCGTCAGATTGACGTGAAACCCGTAACGCGAAAACAGGACAGGACGACAACTGCTATTCCACCTGATTTATTGCTGTTTTGATGATGAATAAAAGACTTCTTGCTTGTTACACTGTGTCACCTCATTCAATTTGTGTCCTAACATTTGTCGTCTCTTAGTATATTTCTAATCTAGGCATCTTGTTTTTTAGGACCCTTCTTGTTTTTTTTTCGCCCTCTCGCATTAGATTTAGGGTCCCCAAAGGACGTCATCCATAAAATTTACTTGGTGTGGCCTAAGACTGTACTAGGTACATTAACAATTAAATATTTATAACAAAATCAAGGAGCGGAACATGTAACGAAACTTCTTAACGATTTACTTTGCCCACCACCAAATGATATTGTTTGCAATTATGCTAATCCCCTCCCCCACATCACAGGCAGGCAGTTTTTTTACGTATTAGGAGGACAAATGCCAATGTACACTCACGTTGTGTGGTAATAAAGGCAGACTTGCTGTCAGCCGCCCCTATACTGTTAGCGGCCGTGCATTTATAATTCCCGCTGTTATTCGACCGGACGTCACCAATGGTCAGCGTGCTTTGACGAAGATTTCTCGCGAGAGTTGATGAACGAGACTTCAGCTGGACGCCATCTTTGGCCCAGGTGATGTTTGGGATGGGGATACCTTCCGCGATGCACTGTAGGGTCACGTGCTCACCGTAGTAAGCAGTAAACGATTCTGTCATTCTGGTAACAGACGCCGGATCTGTGGGCGAAAATTAATTTTAAAAATGTATGTTTTACCTATGAATTTGCCATTGCTACTTCAAATACTTCCAACGATTTCATATATTGCAACCACATACACCTCACATGTATTTTTCACCCATGAATGTGCCCTTGGTACTTGTTTATCTTCAAATACTTCCAACGATTTCATATATTGCAACCATATACGAGTACAACCCACATTCTAGATAGTCTTGGTTGCTCCAGGTAGTGACGTTGATACAACCATACATGGTGTGATTAAGCGTACTTACACAGTACCCGCAACGTCAGGTTAGCCTTCAGCTCCTTTGTTGACGCCGGGTGTCGGACCACGCATGCGTATATCCCAGCATCCATCCGGTCCACGTAGCGTATGGTCAAAGATGGCGTCTCCAAGTTTCCTCCCGAGTATTTCGGCCCGTTGAGACGTAATGTGTCGATGGGGACATTCCCTCTTTTCCATATGAGAGAGGTTATATTTGGATATCCGTCCATTACGGAACACGTTAGCGTAACTGTCTTTGACCTTGTAACGACGTACAGCTTGGAGGGCCCCACCACTACCTTTGGAGGAACTGGAAAGGAACGTATGCAAGCAAATAAGTCACATTATTTACAATCCCCTGCGTAGTAGAAAATTAGTTAGATACAAAGATATGTTCCCCTGGAACCGAAACATTGTTGTTAACACCCACTGAGCTACAGCATATTTTTTTAAAGTTTCGCATGTCACTCATTGCTGGGACACAGTTTTTAATGGCAATATCATTTAGGACGAATGACAATATTATTTGTATCAGTATAACGGATGTTAAAGTTCCCACTACGAATAAGCAAAGCTTTGCAAGCACTATCGGAATGAATAATTGTTTTATTGCAAATTCATGCCCGAGGGCTAATTGCAAGTACCGAAGAAACATTTGGTATAAGAACATGCAATTAATACACAAACCACTACTGTTAACTCTTGAAGACTACTGGGTTTTACTTGTTTTTTGAAGACAGAGGAAGACAAGAGATCCTACATTTTCTGTAATTCATAATTTACTACTGGAATAAATACCACTGTGATGCACATAAAAAGACTGAATAATAGTCTGACTCATCTTTGAAGCACATTTCATTAAGCTTGCAAACTGTTGCCAGCTTTTCTTTTCAACCAATTAAGTGCCATGGTGACGTCCTCTTATGATTTCATGGGAAAGTGGTGTATCAGCTTCTAACGGCTATTATTCTACATCCCATTTTCCATTTCGTTTTCCACTTCAATCTATTTTCCACATTGTGTGCAGGATACTGAATACCCTCAACCGCAGTTGCCTCAACCGAAACCGACAGATTGTAAATAATGCATCAGGAGTGGGGGTGCTCTACCGGGAGGGCTAACGCGTCTCACAAGAGACCACCTTTTAATTCATTGTGTTCGGTAATACGATTTTCCACTATTGTGTGCGTTGGTCGCTTGTGGGGAAACAGATGAAGAAAATGTGTCACGATTGGTTGCCAAATCAGACCAATGCATTTCTTTCACGCTACTATATAGTCTTAGCATAAACGATAATTTGTAAATGCACAATGTGCCATGGGCACCGTATTTCACCATGAGCAGATTATATTTGATTGATCCATGTAACCACCTGCGTGATATTTGATAATCCGGATTTGCCTTTCCGTGACGTCTTTGTTTTCCAGCTAAGCAAGATGTGAGTAATGACCAATTAATTCTAATCCATAAATCCCAGTCTTTCCATTAGGCAGATTAACACGGTGATTCATGCTGAATCAAGTCAAATGGTTGGTCTCTTAGGCAAGAAGAACTGCCTTTACGAACTTGTAGATTAAATGTTTGATTGAGCAGATTATACTTGGCAAAGAGAAGTTGGTACACAGCAAAGAGAATAAGCACATTTTAGTGCATGTTTCCCGTAAAATTTAAAATAGATAAATACATAAAGACTGTTTTGTCATTAAAACAATACCGAAACTCATGATTTATGCTTCTCTTTTTGTACTATGTTCAGTAGTCCTTGCCATACTTGTACCATGTACGTCGTGCAATTAAGTTTTATGTATGTATGCAGGAGTCATTTTCATATGCTTCCACGTCATTTTTGTAGTTTCAGGATTGAGTATATATATATGTACTTACCCAGAATCACCAGCTCTACGGACCCTTCTACCGTCTGCAAGTCATCCGTCATGACTTCCAAGACGAACTTCCCAGCATCTCTTGCGCTGGTTCTCTCCAACCTGAGGGATGCTTGATCTTCCAGTTCAACACGTCCTAAATAACTGCCGATGGCTTTCCAGATGCCTTTAGCCGGGTTATAAGATAATGCCCGGTTCCTCTTAGAAGGATCTCTGGGGTCGATTTTGCTCCATTGGACCAGAGTTACTGTAGCCATCTGGTTTGTGGTGTAAGTGGCAGGAAGGACCACGTCTGCGCCCACGATGGCGTTGACCTTGTTCGGAAGTGTCAGGCGGATTCCATCCTGTGCACTGGTTACTGCAACATTTGTAAGAGAGATACGATTTTTAGACAGGACTCCTCATTGTCAAAGTGAAAGCGACCATAGTCTATTGTTGTACGTACATACCCTTACAATGAGTTATTACTTAGTTAATGAATCAGCTAACAGAATCAATTCCTTAAAGTATTAAGTCGTATGAGAAGTCTACTTTCTCAACTTTGATTTTCCTATTACCAAGACGGTTAAGGAAAAACAGAAGTAAGAAGTATGAAGGGCATTAATATTAATTGTCATGATTGTAATAACATTCATTGTCATCAATTGTTAAGTTTCCGTTATAGCTGACAGTATTGTAAAGCACAATTAAAAACCCAGGCTTTTGTACAGAATGTAAAGTTACTCAGAACACCACCCGATTGCAAATTAGGCAAACAACAGCATGTCTTCTATACCTACTGCTATATATTGTTCATTCAGAGAATTCACAGAGTTGGGTATTATTGATTTTGTTTACTGCTATTCAGCCCCATGTGGATATGTCAGACGGCAGTGTTCACCTTTTGATCACATGCCCCATCCAACGAAGGTGTCTTGAGATTTGATTTCCATAATTTTCATGTTTAACAACAGGTACAACTTTTTGTCATCGGTTAAATGAATATTTCATGCTCCCAGTACAGTAACTTGGGACCCTTGACTTATCATCGCTGTCAATATATGCTTCCAATCAATACCGCTATCTGTTGTGACATATCACGAAGGAAAAGGAGAGAGGTTGGTGTCACAGATGTCAGTTTTGTACATATAATCAGTAAGTCATGCTCACCGTAACCCTGATCCACGATTTAGTTTTGTCTGAACCGATTTCACGTTTTACTGGCAATATGTGAATACTATATTTAGATGGGCATATAGCCAGGTAAGTTGCTCGGGGGCTTGTGTGAAAACTGCACATTGAAATGTCAGAGGAGTCTTTGGAAATGATTAAGAACACGAAGCAGACAAGGTCTTCATTGAAATTTCCTTTAGCTATCTGATATCTACTGTTCCCCTGGTAGCAACCTGTGGCAAGATTGGTTCGGTAATAAAACTGATAAGCAATATTAATTTCCAATCTTAAATGATATGATATCTCAATAACGGCAATACGCACAATTAAACCCCATCCAACTGGAATGATAAATCTACAAATTCCTAATTATGAAAGCCGACTGGATCCTCCTTTACGACATACTACCGATTATGTATTTTTAGAATACCAGTAGCTGTAGATTCCCGTATAACATGTCAGATGGTTGACGATAATACCATTATGATATCATTTACCTGGAATTGAGTCTTATTAACTTAGTAAAGGCAAGCAAGTACGCCCAGAGCACACTTATCTACAGATAGAAAGGTAAATGTGAAAGCTAAGCATACGTGAAACGAAAGCATGATTTAAACTCGCGCGTGTCTGGGTGTGTCGCTCTGTCACCGACAGTAACTAATATGTTGCATTAACTGCTTTCATCACCATAACATATTTGATACGAAATTAAAGTTCAGGCTATGATTAGAAACCGATCTCCGATGCGAAAATTATTGACCCAGTCGTAACATTTTAACTTCGGTGCTGAGGTTGATAATGAGATCGTGAGATCACGTGACATTTTGTAGGCGAAGAAATCGATAGGAAACTCATTTCCGGGAAAGAAGGGCCCTGATATCTACACAACTACGTTAGTTGATTGCCAGATACCCCACGCATCAAGTATTGATGGACAGTGCATGCTGGAGAGACTAATATTACATCTGACCACCTGGCATACAAATGTGAACGGTGTGCAGATGAATTAGGACCTTCAACTTTCATCTCCCATCACGTCCGTGACAAAATGTGCTTTTCATGAATCACATGTGAATGAACTTCTACATCTTGTGCTCTTGGGGACATTTTTGGGCTTTGATCGAAAAGACATACTGACATCTTGTCACGTCTAACAGAGATTGTAAACTACTTGAAAACGTACGTCTGAAAATATATGAAATATTTGAATCATCATAAGACGCGTATATATGTTACTTCAACAAAATCGGTACGTTCAAGGTATAAGGGTTCAACAAAATAGTTAAAGGGATATTTCTAACCACAGTCTATAATCATTCTGATGTGCTTTTCTATTAGGTAATGCACTGAAATTTATCAACCTTTCCTTTTTGATCCAGCACTAAAAGCAGACTTTACATTCCGGATGCTCTCTCCCATTTCCTTGCCGGATTCGCTCGCTTTTAGCGACACGATCAGAATTCACTCACAGCTCTGAGGACCCCTCCACGCTAAGCTCTCCCGTCATGCACATGCATTTTCACTCCTCAGATTTAGGTCGCAAAGCTACCGTGATAAGAATGGATTCCACCCGAGGAAATTTCAAATCTAACGGCTTATACTAATGTACCAGTCCCCAGGAAAGCATTAATACCAGGTGGAGCTAGCACATGAATCATCACACGCAAACTTTTATTGGTTTAGAATGCTAATTTACTACGTGGGTTGTTTTCTTTTAGAAGCCTGTGTGTTTTCATAATGAAATCTGCAACATAGATTGAACATACTTCTTTGGTGTACGAAAATTACATCATTTAAAAGCTAAACTGAAGTTTAGAAATCTACATTAAAATGCTAATATTCAAGCTTAACTCTTAGCAAAATTCTTGTATGTCGACTATTCGACAGAATGCTGTGACTTGTTGCTAACATTACATCCATATTGAATAATCACAGTTTGGAGGAGACTAGTTTCCTAATGATTACATTTGGTATTTCAGCCCATGCAATTTTGTCGACCTTTAGACAGAACTTTTGGCTTGGATATCGTGTTTCTCAATCATCAGTTCTTGATTGAATCCAAACCCATATGTCTAAGCAATCATCAAATGTACAGTCAATTGATGAATGGATTTGGTATCAAATGTCATTGTGTGGCTGGAGGTTTCTCCATGTAAATTGTCCCCTGGGTTAGAATGGCCAGAACACCTAATCTAACAGATAGAGTGAATGTCCTTTACTGCTGCCCTGAGACCTTTTCCCCCATTGCCCTGTTTACTTTACTCTCCGTCGCAGATGCTAAAACGGTTTGCCCGGGGCACAAATGGTTTACGGTCGCGACAAATCAAATTGAGTCTCCCGTCACGACCTTATACTGCTGGGGCATGTCACCATCATCCGAAATATGTCACATATGATCGCCACACCCTGATAGCGCTTGCTATATGATACGGGTGGTTGTACAGAGAAACAATTGTCGTAAAGGTAGGGCAATATTTTAGCTGCAGGACATATTAAAAGCATTGCCCACTGGCACATGTAGCCTAAGATCGTCTCTGACTACAGGATAATTTTGAAATATAACATTTGCAGGTGCTCTTTCACAGCTTGGTATAGTAGGACCAGAGTGCAAAATTCAAATTAAAAAAATGTCATAAAACATGGTTATACGACTGCAAAAGAAATAAACAAGGTGAAATACATTGATAGCTGGAAAAAATTAATAGAGAATTGTGAGTTCTGCGAACTAAAAAGAATGTAACGTAGATGTTACCTACCTTGAAAAACGACAAATATACCCACGCTGAGAGCGAAAACGTATCCACAGGCCATCGTGGTAGAACCTTGTCTCGAGGTCCGGGTCCTAAACTATTCCAATTCCAGTGAGCCTTTTAAAAGCACGTGAAGAGTCAGAAGGGTCTTGGTTGTCGTTAAGACAGAGAAATCGACTCTCCACACATTCAATTACTGCTGAAGTCCGTGGCTGGTGCCGGTTCTGGTGTGCTGCAGGACGGGACAGTGTTTCCGTGTCGCCCGGGGAATGCTGTTGTCGTGCCGCTCGTCCTGTTGGCTGATCCGCGGGGATACACCAGCCTCTCTGGATCTGTATTTTCTCCCCAATAGTCCAGCGCCGCAGGAGATCCTAGACTTTCATAATAAAACCCAATAATATATTGGTTTACTCACTTTTGCAGTTTGATGAGTATCATCCAGAACTCCCTCGCGAACCTTGACGATGCTTAAGAGATCTCTTTACCGCGGTTCTTCGGTTGCACTTAGTTGATTAAGAATTCTTCGCATCGCTCAGGTACGGACCATTGAAATCACTGGAGACGGTGGACTTGTTTAGTGCTGAAACACGCCCTAAGTAAGCACAATTACGCATCCAGCAGAGCTGCAGGCAGTATTAACATCTTTCCCTGATACCCCCCTGATCGCATCATTCCGCTGTTTTATGGCACACGGTAACGCCCCGCAGGCCTCTGCGGACCCTACCAACAAAGTTGGCAAGCAGGGGTGTAGAAAACTTTTAATAAACAGACATCAAAGTTTTAATGAGCAAACAACTCATTGTGGTAAGGCCTTGTGGTAGCTATAGAGAAATCGTCCACGTGTTGATGTGCAGCACATAAAAAAGGGTTAGATTTGTGAAGGATGCAGCACGGACTCTGTTTTAAGTTGGGTGGCGTCGTCTTCCCATCGGGCGAACTGATTTGCCATGTACGTCCACACGCTTTTCAAACTTAATACCCAAACGTACCACCGGCACGCGATGTGTAGGAGACAACCGATCGATAACAGGCCGCATATCAAAACCGTCATATTACTTCGTTATGACCGTTTTCCAGCGATTGCAAACCACATTACCCACAACTAACTGCCTAGGTCCACACCGAGGCATTCATCTTTGCACTGCCTTATCAATGTTAACACAATTCTATATGCAGGTCCTGGCTCGACGGCGATATGGGGACTATAAAGCTTTATTCAGTATTCCCAATACGTGTGTAGTGCCATTTGAGAGTGGGTGCTTTATAGACTGCATGTTCTGCGGGTTGTGATACATTCGCCACAAGCTGGAGATAGGAACACTACATAAATAATTCTCCTATTAATAAGTTTCCTCCCAATATGTCACTTCTTCCACACGCGACGACGTTTGGTATTACCGTGAGGGGTTCCTAATTAATAGTAACATTTCAATCTTGTCAGTTCATTTACTGATAAATACACGTGTTGTTGGATTGCAATTGAATCTGGATGTATGAGACATTTTTCACTGTCACGTCGTTCTGACATCTAGCACGTCGCCACATCTCACGTCGTTCGACTCACGCCATTTACTCCTACGCGTGGAGGTAAGCATTGAAAGAAAACCCGAGAGAGACGTAATGGCTTTAGCAGCGGGAACCACATTTTACCTTACCCTACAACAGAGTTTTTTGCGCGGTCAAAAATACATTTACTGACTGTAATGCTATTTTTCGTACTGTAAAAACAGTACTAAATCACATGTATATTGACGTATACGGTGTTTTCTAGTCCCTAAAGTAAGTGATGACCACTGTAGGCCATATCTCGTCAAATATGTCCCAATATCTATTCATTTGTACCTTAATTCATAAATTTCAAAATTTCCGTAAATATGTCATTTAGTTTAGATAAAACATTACTGAAGGGACACTATTTCGAAATATGGGTTGGTCTAGATATATATATATATTTTGTATTCCAACATATAATCACAAAACGTGGTGACGGCACACCTGAGCGAAGTGAGGAAAGTCGTGTAAAGTGCCTTTCCCAAGGGCACAAGATCGGTGGCATTTCAAGACTCGAACCCGGGACTCTGGGTTCTGAGTCGAGCACTCTGCCCCTACGCCACGCGACCCCACTAGAAAGAAAAGTCTAGATATGCTGCAAAGCTATGTGAAAACTACACGATATATTCAGTACGCCACTGAAAGTCATTGGAATAAGAATGTCTTGATCAATATTCCTATAAAACTAACGGCAGAAGCCATAGACCCTTCAAACTGCTGTTTACCACTGCACGTCTCCCGTGTTTGACCTGTGGCAGCGGTCATGGATGCACTCCTTAGCTAATGGAGTTTTGATGTTAGATGGCCTTAAGGTGCCTGAGAGCTATCGGGGTTCCAGACATTTCATCCAGATTTATCACCACTAAAGGATCCCTGGCTACGAAACGTATCGATACCGAGTGACACTGAGATTCGGGCGTCCATACATCATTGCATTGAAGGGACACGTTTCTGTCGGTATATTGCAAAAGGAGACAAGGTTATCCAGATCGAATCAACCACCAAAAAGGTTGTATTTGCTTTGGCAGACGTTGAATGGCTGGCATACAATTGCTTGATTTTCAAAAATATCTCTATGGTAAAGGCTCTAGGCTTGATTTCAACGATGTGCAACTAGTTTTCCATTGTAAGTCATGTATTTAGCTTTTCGTACTAATGTAGGAAGGAGTGGACCCACACGTTTGTACGTACTATAGGTTGCTGTCAGTCCATCAAGCTGGCGTCTTTAGGTCTAAAAAGTCACCATACAAGAAAAAAAATGCTGAGATAAGATGTTATAAATGACGGACGGTGTGTTTTATGGGTACCTTGCAATGCATCAGTTGACCGCGCGGAGTCTAAATGTTCCATTTCTTCTCGCCCTCTTACGGTTAAAACCCCACCATGCGACACCAACTAACATTGCATTAGCTATACGTGCGAATGATGCAAACACTTTGTCATCGATGAATATTTTTCAATTGAAACAAAAAATATTACACGTTTTTGATGGTACAAGCTTTACCAAAATGACGGCAATGTAACAAAAATACGTTGAAACATATGTAGGAACATAGCCCACACAAGGGTCGAAATGGGTCGAAATAGTTGGATATCTTCACACACACAGACAGGCGACGTATGTCATCACCATCATCGATCATCATCATCAGCTGTCGGCTGCAACGCAGGCGACTGCAAGAGCCCTCCGCTGCTCTGTGTCGCGAGCAAGCTGGCTATCTGCTTTGCCGACAATTTTTTATAGTCGTCTTCCAGCATTTGTTGTACATACTGGAAGTAGGAGGTAGGCTGTTGTCCTTGTCTGTTGTATACAAGGTGTATGTATACAAGGTGACTGAGATAGTACCAGTACATTGCCGTCTTAATCCTGCAAAATTCATGATATTGCTGTAATGAATGCAATGCAAGTGAAACCCGATAGCTGGCGCTACGTAGTTATTTGATGGTACTGATCACGATGTACTTTGTAAATTATTTGGCAGATGTCGCTTTTGACCTACAAATAGTCAAAGAGGTGGTTAAATCAAGACAATACTGGTGCTGCTTTTATACCCTGGAAAAAACTACACCTTCAGCGATATATAGATTAAAATGAATATTATCTTCATTTAATCTAAATCTGCTATTTTTTCTCATGCAATTGCAAGGCTATATACATTTTTTGCGAAAGTCATCGACATCAATTATGCAAGAAACATTATACAAAACACGACTTGACATCACTGACAAATAGAATGGAGATGAGAGTCAAATATGAGCCGTTTCCATGCATATTTAACGTTCACCATATGCATCTGTCGGTCCCAAGCCTTGGAATCCCCTAGACGAAACGTCAAATCCATATCGATACATCATTTCATGTACAGAAGGGTTCCACCTCGTCTGTGTGTTCACAAGCCCTCACTGCCGGGGGTTAATTAAGCCCTTACGGCACCTGTTGTGCCGACCGGCCGCTACATGTAGGATCGTGATTCAGTTAGGTTAGGTTACTTCGGATCTGATTTACTTCTGCATCCAATGAGAATGGTTTCCGACTGCATTACAAATGTTCATAATGACGAATAGTTTTGAAAATATGCCAATGCGGAATGCGAGAAAACAGTGATTTGCTACTGCTAGGTATATATGGATTGTCCGGTATGGAATTTGTTTGGCTTGAGCTCCATGGTTTATGAGGGATGGAACCATATGTACATGGACGATACTGAAGAGTAACGGTTCCTCAGAGTGTCAGTTGCTTTCAAGCGATCAAACATTATTTACTCATTACGTCCACTGAAAGACCGTTCGCCGAAATATAAAGGGTTCTCCTTTTCATTCCACTCACGTACCAGAAAAGTTGTGAAATTGATGAAAATTAGACCCAATGCTGAAACATTAACCCGATAACATGTCTAATGGTGTTCATGCCTAAAGTGCCGAGACTCTCCATGGGTGAAGGGCGTTTCGGGTCATTCCCCACAGCATAGACAAATTGAAAGAACCGCTATATCTTCCGCTCTATCTTCGCTGAGTCTGAAAACCGCTTTTGTCTATTGGACGATACATATCTCACAGGTGATGTATGAAGAAGACAGGTTAGGTACAAGTACTCTGCTTCCGTTTCACAAGGGCCGCCACTAACAAAGGCAGTAGGAGCTAGGAATGTATTTGTCACACGTAAGCTGATTCGCTATGCCACATGTGTGGAACTTAAAGAACAGCGCCCCAGGGGTATTACAGGGTGATTGCACTCTCTCTCAAGAGCGCCAACCGATAATTGAGTCTGCCTGAACTTGAAAAAGTAGCAGCATCACTTTTGGCCCTGTGCCCAGAACGATCATGCAGAGGGGGATGTTAATTTGCAAACCTTTGATTACTGGTAACAAACAACGTTTCCCAAGTGTATTCAGAAAATTACTTCGAAGCCCCAATCATAACTATCTCCAGTTACCATTTCATATCATCTTAGTCGCTTTGTGTTGAAAAAATTTCCTCAAATTTTGTAATAGAGTCTATCCTCTTTGTCGTGATATCCGAGGGGAATTTCAAACATACAGACCTAACCACATCGAACGAGTTCACTGATTAGAATAATTATCGTACGTGCCTCTTGAGAAGTTTAACGAGAACGCAGTTACCTCTGTGGATTTGGAAGGCGACATGTTTCATTAGCTGCATGAAAGGAGGCCAAGAAATGTGTTCCACGCCGTAAAATTCAACCTCCGGCTATTGATTGTAAGTCGCCTTACGTTGTATCCATAGCATATACGAGCATCTGTACACGTGATGTGAAATATTTAAAGAAATAACAATTCGTCAAGGAGTGAGGACCAGGTAATGAACCTTAGACGAGAGATAACCATTTGGATGCTTTGTATCGAACGTAGTGCAATATTATGACATGGTTCACAAACAGGCCGAACTGTAAGCCAAAGGCCGCCAAGAAAAAGTATAACTCTGATACGTAAACTTGTTGCTGATAAGTCTTTCCATAGTCCCCTATGTGGAACAAACCAAGTGTCACTCAAATCATTCACATTCACGTTCCATGCCAATGGGGGTAGATTTGTTAATGCTTCATGAAATTTCTAAATGAAATGCATTTCTATTGGCCTCAAAATGTCTAA